ATTTTAATCAAAAGTGAACTTTGTCGAAAACGCTCCAAATTTCGCATGCAGTTTTGTTAAGGTATGTTTAGCAATGTCCCGTAGCTTTTCCGCTAAGCTTCGCTTCATTTTCGAGATATTGCGTATGTAAAAAAACCACTCGGTTTTCCTAGCGGCGTCTTCATAAACGAAGCAAAAACCAGCGGGAAAAATACAGGACCACGTTTTTCTATTACATTGAAGACCACATGCAAAAATTCAAGCCCTTTCTCGAAATTTTTTTTTTTTCACCCAACTCGTCACTTAGCATGGTTTTGCACTCACCCCTTCAATTAGTTCCCTAGTTCCGACCAATGCTAAATTACAGTAAACATAATTTGTGAAGGGCTTGTGTTGATTTTCTTTTCTTTTCGATGATGATGAAAAAGTAGCTTCTTCCTAAAAACATACCGGAAATCCTCAAATTAGCGCCCGGGGCGCTTATTTCAAATTTAGGAGAAGACGGGAGGCGCTTACTCTTATTCTTATACATCATTTGCACGTAAATAACGACGAGGAGGTCGTCCTTTTCACTCGTTCAATAAGACTGATAAGTTTTCAATAAATTTTCCTTAGACTTCATAAAGTAAAAATATCGTTGTGATCACAGTGACCCTAAACGTTTCTTACAGCCTTCAATTGTATTAAATCAGCCGTGTTCGATTATTTCAATTTTCCCTGACTTTGTCTTGCTCTCCATGAGTTCTCAAAGCTCAGTGGATGCCCGTTCGGTGTTCGAGAGGTCATGGGTTCGATTCCTGTCGGGGACTCAGATTTTTGGTTTGTCCCACGCTCGTGTCATGTTGATGCAGTTCACTTTTCACATTTCCCTGACTTTTCTTCAAAATGTCAATTTGTCAATTTGTCAACTATAACTTTTCCCTAACCTAGTAGAATTTTTTCCCCAGACCTTTTCCTGACCTATGGCAACCCTGGATAACTGAGAGGGGAGTAGGGGTGAGAAAAACTTGGAAGGTACAAACAAATAGGTGTGACTTGCAACCGAAGGTGATTTTATTTAGATACATTATCTTACAAGTAAAAGCTGAAATCCTTTTCTAAGCTCTTACAGAGAACAGCTGTCATTTGAAGATTCAGTGGATTATCTACAGAGCATTCCAATCACCACTTCAATGGCTTGTTCTATTCCAAGAATAGGCAAAACTTTTTGAAACTGTTGTGGTACACTCCTAAGTAACGCAGATCTATCTGTCTGCCCAGTCTCTTTTGATGGTGCTGAAGCATGAATTTGAAGATCTGGTACAACACGGCCAGAGTCACTTATATCAAGTCTCCAATGAACTGTAAAGACAAGTCCTGGCTTGCTTTTGTTGTGCAGTTGAATAGATTGACTTCTTGTAGTCAGACCAATCAAGTGAACAGTTTCAGGGTACTTTGTTATAAAGTGATCAAACGTTCTCTGCCTATGACTGTGCCACTCAGCATACTGTATAAGTCCACTAAAGAATGGCTGTAGGGCCCTCTCTCCTTCTACT